AGAAGAAGAATCCCAAGATAATGGCATGGACCAGATCTTCAACAGAATCATAGAAGAAAATTTCCCAAAATTAAAGAAAGACATGCCCATACAAATACAAGAAGCACATAGAACACCAAACAGGCAGGACCAGAAAAGAAACTCTCCACGGCACATCATAATAAAAACAATGTACGAAACAAAGAGACAATACTGAAAGCTGCAAAAGAGAAACAAGAAGTCACATATAAAGGAAAACCCATTAGGATTACAGCTGACTTTTCAGTGCAAACTATGAAAGCCAGAAGAACCTGGACCAAAGTATTCCAAATTTTAAATGACCACAGATGCCAACCCAGATTACTATAATGGCCAGATGTCTATTATAGTCAAAGGGGAAAGAAAAATCTTCCATGATATAAATAGGCTGAAGGAATTCATGTCCACAAAACCAGCCCTTCAGAGAGTTCTGGAAGCAATACAAAGAGCTGAAGAAAGGAATGACTATACTCAAGGGCTTGGGGAAAGAAATTCAATGAAGGTATAACTGTGGAAAACTACAGCTATACCAAGAAAGTAAACAGAAATAAAAATGACAGGATTCAATACCCATCTTTCATTAATAACTTTAAATATTAACGGACTGAACTCCCCAGTCAAAAGACACAGACTAGGTGAATGGAGTAAGAAAAAAAAAAACCTATCTTTTTGTTGTCTATAAGAAACTCATCTCACTTTCAAGGACAGACACTATCTTAAAGTGAAAGGATGGGAAAAAATATACCAAGCAAATGGTACTAAGAAAAAAGCAGGTATAGCAATCCTAATATGTGATAAAACAGGCTTTAAACTAAAACTAATAAGAAGAGATAAAGAATGCCACTTCAATCTGATCAAAGGAAAAAAAATCAAGAAGATATTACAATCATAAACATATATTCACCAAACTCTGGTGCACCCAACTTCATAAATCAATACCACAGGACTTTAAGACCCAGATTAATCCTAACTCATTAATAGTAGGGACCTTCAGTACCCCACTGTCTCCATTAGATAGGTCAACAGGGTACAGAGTTAACAGAGAGACATCTGAATTAAACAATACCATATATCAAATGGACTTAACAGACATCTACTGAGTATTCCACCCAAGCACCAAAGGACATACTTTCTACTCAGCACTCCATGGAACCTTCCCCAAAACTGACCATATACTGGGGCACAAAACAAACTTCAACAAATACAAAAAGATTGAAATAATTCCATGCATTCTATCAGATCACAATGCAATAAAGCTTAAAATCAACACCAGAAGAAGCCCTAGTCACCACATGAACACATGGAGATTAAACAACACACTCCTGAATGATGAATGGGTCAAAAGAGAAATTAAGAAAGAAATAAAAGTATTCCTGGAACGAAACAAAAAAGACGATACAACACGACAAAACCTCTGGGACATGCTGAAAGCAGTCCTCAGAGGGACGCTTATAGCTCTAAGTGCCTACATCAAAAAAATCGGCAAACACAAATAAATGACTTAAAGTTGCAACTCAAGAAACTTGAAAAGCAACAGCAAACGAAACCCAAACCCAGCAGACAAGAAGAAAGAACAAAAATCAGGGCAGAAATTAATGAAATTGAAACAAAGAAAACAATACAAAGAATCAATGAATCCAAAAGCTGGTTCTTTGAAAAGATAACAAGATTGACAGACCACTAGCCCAGTTAACCAAAGAAAGAAAGAGCACCCTCAAATCAACAAAATCAGAGATGAAAGGGAAAACATCACAACAGACACTAAAAAGATCCAGAACATTATAAAGGAATATTTTAAAAACCTATACACTGCTAAATCTGAAAGTCTAAAACAAATGGATGGATATCTGAAATCACAGGAACCTCCAAAGTTAATATGGATTTACAGCAGAATTCCATCAGACATTTAAAGAGGATCTGCATCCAATACTACTTAATTTATCTTTAAAAAAGTAGAAATGGAGGGAGAACTTCCAAATTCCTTCTATGAAGGCAGCATCAGTCTAATTCCAAAACCAGGTAAAGACACAACCAAAAAAGAGAACTATAGACCCATATCCTTAGTGAACACAGATGAAAA